GGTTTGGACATGTCAAAAGGAGGGACAGTGGTTTGGACATGTCCAGAGGAGGAAGAATAGTTTGGACATGTCTAGAGGAGGGACAGTGGTTTGGACATATCCAGAGGAGGGACAGTGGTTTTGACATGTCCATAGAAGGGACAGTGGTTTGGACATGTCCAGAGGATGGACAGTGGGTATATTGGTAGAAGGATGTTAGAAATGCAGCTGCCAGGAAAAAGACAAAGATGAAATATATGGATGCAGTTAGAGAGGACATGAAGGTGGAGTGGGGACAGAGGACACAGAGGACATAGTGAAAGCAGAGGACACAGAGGATAGAATGAAATGGAGGAGGGAGACTTGCTGTGTCAACTCCTGAAGAGGGAATTGCTGAAAGAAGAAGAATAAGATTATTTTAGCTATATAAATTCTAATTTTAATTTAAAACTAACATTTAGCTACTTTTAGTTTAAGGTAACATTTTACCATTTTTAGCTAGTGCATCAGCTAAATTTTGGGCTTTTTAGTATTTTCAGCAATGCCATTCAGGATTCAGTATTCATACCATATTTTATAAAATGCATCTTGATTTATGCTCAATAATCCAGGTAGATAAATCTAACAAGATTGAGTCAGGTCCTCTGGACAGATTCTTTGTTGAAATGTTTTGTCTTTTATCCAAAAGACTTTTTCAGTCTGAGGAGCTGCATCAAACTCCGTCTTATAAATAGCACCTTCTCATAGTGGATCAACCAGTTTGCTGATGACATCCAGAAATAGCTGTTCACATGTAAAAAAGGAGAACCATCAACCTAACAATTGATTGTTAGTGCCCTGACGGCCGCTTGCCTTGAGCCTCGCCAGGCTCATGTTATTTGTTAGGCTGATGGTCCTCCTTTTGCATGTGAACAGCTAGCTGTCACCAGTAAACTGGTTGATCCACTATGAGAAGATGCTGTTTATAAGAATGAGTTTGTTGCAGCTCCTCAGACTGAAGAAGTCTTTTGAATAAAAGACAAAATGTTTCAACAAAGAAGAATCCATCCAGAGGCCCTGACTTGTTAGGTTTATAAAATGCAATTTCTTTGCTTCAAACTTGTTTTCTTTTAAACTTCTTCTTTGCATTTTCTTCCGTTTTACCCTAAAAGTAATTATTTTATTATTTTTGCTACCAAACCTTCAACCCCATATAAAAACTATGTCAAACCATGTATCTTGACTGAACTACACAAATATATCTAAAAAGTAAATAAATAAGCCCATAATGACAACACGTATAGAATAAACCAATATTATACTACATTTTCACCATTTATGATCATTGTTGTTCTCTTTTGTAACAAATGTGTAAATTTTCCAGTAGGAATTCATGCATCCATTTTCTTTACCTGTTTTTTCTCAAGTGTCACAGGGTCGCTTGTCCCTAACTCAAGAAGTCTTTGTGCGCAACGTATGGTACACCATGGACCCGTCACAAGTCCATCACAGGCTAATACGATTTTATTTATCATCTCAGAAACAAAAATAAGCTGTTTTCTGACATAATGTAGGGTCCTCCAACATTGGGAACCACTGGTTGAGAGTTCAGGTCTGCAACTGGAGGAACAAGACTAATATATAAAGACAGAACTCATAAGAGTATCAATAAACTGTGGGAGTTCCTGTTACTGGTCACCAGAGGGCGCCATACAACCACACCTGCAAGCAGTGTGTCCTGGTGAGGCTCCAGGCATATACAGTAAATGGTAAGGCACCTGATGACTTCCTTCTGACGCTGGAGCATTATCCTTTCTATGGTTCATGCTCCTAGCCTTTTGTGAATCTCTAAATTCCTGTGATTAATGACCTTTTGTCTATGATCTTTCCAGTGAACCTCCTGAGACCTACCTGATTACTGGGACCTCCTATTGAACCTCTGGAAACCTTAGTGCGCTCTTCAGCTGTTCTCCTCGCCCTCCAACCACACGGATTCTTGAATATACGGGATCTTCTCATGATTGTACAGGATCTTGGAACCAAACATCTTACCATCCATCTACTAGTAAGGAACCAGCACATTCTGATTAACCCTTCTTTGCAGAACTCTGAACCTGACCCATCTCCTTGCTCCCCAGTGTCCTCGTTTCATCCTAAATTATTATCCACTGTAAATAAAAGCACTGAGCTCATACTTTTGTGTCTGAGTTGTTCAGGGTATTCCGTTCTTGTGACATAATCTTGTGATGTAAACTTATGATAATCCATCCATCCATGATCTTTTACCCGCTTCTTCCTCTTTGGGTCGCGGGGGGGTCACTGTTGCCCATGTCCAGCCAGCACTGTGTGAGAGGCAGAGGACACCCTGGACAGGTCGCAAGTCCATCACAGGGCCACATAGAGACATACAACCATTCACTTTCTCACTCTCACTTAGGAACAATTTAGAGTTATCAATCAGTCTAACATGCATGTTTTTGGTCTGTGGGAGGAAACCAGAGTACCTGGAGAAAACCCAGGCACACACGGCGAGAACATGCAAACTCCACCCAGAAAGGCTCCCGGACTGGGATTTGAACCAGGGTAACCTGCTCCCTGAGAGGCAGCAGCTCTACCAGTTGCACCACTGTGCTGCCCCACTTATGATAATAAGATTTTTTATTATCATAACATGAGTCCCTGATTGTGGACAGAAGGGTTTCTGTATACAAGGAAAACAGAACAAATATTATAAATGCAGACATATTTTTTATTTGTTAGGAATAAAATAATCTTTGATGATAAATTGAGGAAAATAACAATATATGGGTTGGTGAATATAAGGTTTAATTATGAATTATGGAAAATAGATCATTTAAAGATGGCTAGAATGTCTGTCAGATGTGTAAACTAGGCCATAAGTCAATAAATAATATATCTTAGTGACTGCTAACTTTAAAATCAACCATGACACTTTATACTGTCCGTAGGGAAATAGTCCCTTATAAGGCCTTTAATGAGGAAACAGCACATCAACCCCAAAGGTTCTTGTTAATTTAAATGAGATTAACTATAAAGTTAAATTATAGTTCACATCACTTGAGTATGGGGATTATAAAATAATTAATGATGAGTTAAAGAGCAGCTTAACAGGTCAGAATGACCGTAGTGCAATCTAAGTCTTGATAATGTATTAAGTTACCAAGAGGATAATCAGAGTCTCACAGTCATTGTGAGATTATGTGTGTGTGTGTGTGTGTGTGTGTGTGTGCTCAAATTTGTGCAATGGAAAGAGGAATGTGTCACATACTCAGTTGAAAGAGATGACAGCTAATGTGTGCCTGACTGATTGAATATGGACGGGAACCAGTAAGTGTATCGGGGACTGATTGGACAAGAATGGGGAATATGAGGGACTTCAGAGAGTCTGTAAGGCGTTTGATTGGATAGAAATTGAAAACAGGAAGTGTCACGGGGTGGAGAAAGATAGTCTATAAATGTGGGAACAGACTTGACATACAGCAGAATTGTACAGAAGGTCCCTGAATGCAGGTAAAATATATACAATTCTCTCTTGTTCGTGCATTTTGAAGTCTGTAAAAATAAAGATGTTGTTTAATTCTGACATAAGCGCGTGCGCCTTCTGAGCAAACAACCTGGACGGGGAGAAGAGGAAGATCTTATGTTTCCCTTATCATATTCAACCTTTATTTATACAGTTTAGTTCCCATTTAGCCTCAAGGACTCATTTACAAGAGAGACCTGTTTCAGACAGACAAAAGTAAATAAGGAAAAGAGAAACACGAGGGGAGGGGAGGTAAAAAAAAAAAAATCATATCCAGCACTATGTTCTGGCCGGGGCACAGTGTGAAAGTTTCAAAAAAGGCCTTTTCACATAAACCTCAACATACTAAGACATCATAATACATTTATGCATGAGGAGGACGACAAAGGTAATAAGTTGTCCGTGGGCACTGCCAGAAAGTTTTATGGTCCTAATAAGAGAAGGCACAGTGTCTATCAACCGACTCAGCTCTGACACAGGTCCACAGATGTCCTCGGGAAGGGAGCGGGTGGGAGATGGGGGCAGAGTAGACCTTCTTATTCACATAACCTCCAGGATAAATTTGAGATAGTTGACCTTTTCAAGGCCAAGCATGGAA